TGCGACATTGATCCAGTTTGACCAAACTCCATTTTACCTCAACTCTCCGCCTTCTTCCATCCACTCTTCTATCCAATAGGCTAATTTATCCCAACATCAATAGAGATAGTTTGGTTTACTCGCCTTTCTTGTCAAATGCTTTCTGAAAATTCAGATACACCAAATGTACACCCTTACCCTCATCTACATAAGCAGTTACCTTCTCAAAAAATGTCAAAAGATTTGCAAGGCAAGATTTTCTTTTAATGAAACCATTTTCACTACCCAATAAAATTCTACTATTACATTAGCATTATTTATCAACCTTTCCAAAACTTTTTCCACAACTGATTCAAGACTAATGTGATCATCTTGTTTCCATCTTTCAACTGTTCTAGATGAGGAATATCACTAAATCTTCAGTAAAAACAGAAAAAACAATTTAATAACCCATCCATCTCATAATCACCAGATATAATCCTTTTTTTTTATTATTATTCCTCAAAGGTTCTACCCAATCCTAACATTTTGTTCACCCTTACTATATTTAAATGATTTGTTTGTTTGTAATTAAGCACAAAGCTACACAATGAAATATCTGTGCTCTGCCTACCACAAGTATCGAAACCCAGTTTCTAGCATTGTAAGTCCACAGACATAATGCTGTGCTATTTAAGGGAATCCTTACTGTAAATTTTTACATTTGCAGCCAAACTTTTTTCAAACATCCTTTTTGATGTCCTAATTTCCTGTTTGACCAATTTTCTTGATATTCTATAATCTTCTAAATCTTTCATTAAACCAGTTCATTTAAACTTCTAAAATTTGTGATGCATTTCTTTAATTTAATCTCTTATACCAATTGTGAGCCAAGCTGTTTTTTACTTGCAACCATCCTTGTATTTCTACAAGTAATATTTATCTTGAATATTTAAAATTTAAATTTGATCAGTATCTCCAAATAACACAGTTGCCCAATTCACAACATGTAATTTGTGTCACATCCCTTTTAAAAATGTTTTTAAAATTCGTAACCAAAATATCATTATTCCTGATCTCCATATAGAGCAAGAACATCACACTTAATAGAGCAATGATCACTTGCACCCAAATATTTCCCAGTTTCCACCCTCTCAACAATTTCTATATTAGAAGTTAACAATGAATCTAAAATTGTATTGTTTCTAGTAGTTTTCTTCACCAATTAGTCAAAGAACATATCTTGAACAATTTACAAAAACCTCTCCATCATGGTTTGAATCTATATGCCCAAAATTAAAATCACCCATTATTTGGATCTCATTAACAGTTGAAATCTTAATCTTGCTATAAAGTTTCTTATTAATTTCATCAACTGGTCAAATTCCCAGTAAAATCCTTTTGCCTTTATGTGCACTAAAAGAAACCCAAATTGATTTAACTTCGTTGCTACACTCAACTTCAACAGGATGCAACCCGCATTTTACATTTAAGGCCACTCCTCCCCCTCTCTTTAGTACTCTATCTTTATCAAATAACCTACAACCCTATCTTTCAAAGCAATTTGTCATCAAAATCATCTATGTTTAACCATGTTTCAGTTACTCCCATCATATTAAAATCCTCCATCCCTATCAGTGCCCTAAAGTCATTATTTTATTATATTTCTAGCATTAAAATAGTAACAATTTAGCATATCCTTACCTCTTCTATACTCATCAGCTAAACTTTTCTCTACATCTTACTTTTATTGCATTTAGTTTCAATAACCTGGCCATCACTACAGTCTACTTCTAGTTTAAAACTTACATTACAGCAGAGTTAATAGCCCTTCCAAACAAGCCAGACCCTACCCATATTTAAATGTAAACCATCCATTCCAAAACACTCCCTTCTCACATTAAACTGATCCCACAAGACCAACCTGCCAATCCTTTCATACTAACCTAAGCCTAGCATTTAGCCCTAGTGACCTACTTATAATTTCACTTCTACAATTACTTCTTGGCAGTATCCCTGACAAGATTAAGTTGTGGTATTTTTCTTTAACTGTCTTTATCAACCCCTCGTACTTATCAATTAGCTCCTCTGGTCTACTTTTCCCTACATACACAACAAAAACTGCAGCATTGCTAGCCTCCTTTATTATATCTCTTGCCCTGTTATATATTCTACCCAAGTATTTACCCCACAGACTATCCTATAAACATGCCTTGTCAATAAATCACTTATAACCTCCTTAAGCTTATCATCCACATCCTTCTCTAACCCTTTGTTTTCACTCCCTCCAAGCAAAGGGCCTAAATCTGTTATTCAGCAGAATAGGCTCATTATGATTTACTGCACTACTTTTAGCCCTAATAATACTATTTCTAAATTTCTTAGTCATTGTTAGCTTATGTATCACTTGCATGTACAAGATTAAGCTCCTCTTGAAATCCTGCACTAACAATAATTAAGCAATAAAAGACAATTAAATCCTTTTTAGTCATGTTACAGGGTTTGTTATATACTCCTTTTTCTCATCACTAATAACCTAAAATAATATAATTATTTGAATAATATGCAACTATTCTGTTACAATTAATTATTCTTAATTGTTCAACACACTAAATAGTAAATTAATTGTGGATTTTCCTCAATAAAATGGGGAACTTAAGTGATAGATATATGAATGACTTGGTAGCAAAACAAAGAATAGATTAGGCCACTACATCATTCATGGATTACTTTTCTTCACTGAAGTTCCACATTTTACAGTGGAAAGAAAACTTCACAACTAATTTTTAATCACATTAAAGCTGAAAATCAGCACCATCTTTTCTTGTTGTACCACAACAATTTTGGTCAAGCATAATATAACCTCCCATTTGTAAACATTACTTGTGCACAAGTTATTCATTGTCGTTTTAAAAAAAAATTTTTTTTTTTAGAAAAATTGCATTGGTTTAATAAGAGTTAAAAATTGAAAT